CCCTCAGCACCTTCGGGTGCATCCCATCAGGGCCCGTGGATTTATGGCATTATATCTGCCTCGCCAATCTCTACCCAACCCTCTGCAGCCAAGGGGAAGTCTTCCTTTCTCCAGCCTTCTTCTCTTACCTCCAGTGTCTGAGTTTACTGAGGGCTGGCCTCAGCAGTAAAGACTGAGGCAAAGAAGGCATTCAGTAATTCCACATGCTCTGTGTCTTCCACCACCAGGTTACACATCTGATTCAGCAGCAGCCCTACATTTCCCTTAATCTTCCTTTTGCTGCTGAGGTACTTATTGAAGCCCTTTTTGTTGTCCTCGATATCCTTTAGTGGACTCAGTTCCAGGTGGGCCTTGGCCTTCCTCATCACATCCCTGCATATCTGACAGCATTCCTATGGTCTTCTGACATGGCCTGTCCCTTTTGCCACATCCCAGAAATATTTGTCTTCTGTTTACGATTTGGTAGATGCTCACTGTTCATCCATGCAGGTCTCCTGCTGTCTTTGTTCAATTTTTTGCTCATGGGGATACACTGGTCTTGAGCTTGGAGGAAGTGATGCTGAATATTGATCAACTCTCTTGTACTCCCTTCTAGAGCCCTACCCATGGGATTCCTCTAAGCAGGTCTTTGAAGAAGTTGAAGTTAGCTCTCAGGAAGTTTAGGGTTCTAGTCCTGTTTACTGCTTTGCTTCCTCCACACAGGATCCTGCATTTCACCATCTCATGGGAACTGCAGCCAAGGCTGCCCCCAATCATCACATTTTCAACCAGTCCCTTCTGGTTTGTTAGTACAAGGTCCAGTAACACACCTTTCCTTGTTGACTTTTGGGCCACTTGTGTCAATCATCTGTGTGTGCTGAGCCGTGTTGTCCCTCCAACAAACATCAGGGTGGTTGAAGTCCCCCGGGAGAACCAGGGCCTGTGATCATGAAGCTGTTTCCCGCTGCCCATAGAAAGCTTCATCAGCTTCCTCCTCCTGATCAGGTGGCCTGTAGTAAACACCCACAATAGTATCATCCATATTAGTCTGTCCCTTAATTCTTACACATAAGTTCTCAACTCATTTGTCTGTCCCTGGATATAGCTCATTATATTTCAGTTGCTCTCTCACATAAAGAGCAACTCCACTACCTCACCTTGCTGACTCAGCCTTTCTAAACTCAAACGATTTTGTGATTGCAGCTACAAAATACTAAGGCATCATTGCAATGGGTGCTACAGTCTTGATTATTTAAAGTGCAAAAGTATAACCTGCACAGAGAAAGGGTTACTTCTGTGTACTACTACTGCCTGCAGGCAAAAAAGTCCATGAAGCCAGAACAAATGGCCTAAGAAAACCACGTTCACCTAGATGAAGAAAAAGCTGGGATACACCCAGGGCACCATATTGTGCTGGACTGTAAAGTCTGTTTAATGTCCTTTTTAGTCCATTTCTCATAATTTTATTAACCAAGTTTGCCCATATATTGAGCTTATTTGTGTAGACAAGTGAGCAAAAGAACAGCACTGCCCTACCAAGGCTTTTTGGAAGAGACAGGGGAGGAAGAGGTGGGTTGAGTGTGAAGAGTTGTCTCTGATGAACAGCAATGAACAGGTTGAAAGCCTGTTGGGAAGAATCAGAGACTGAGGCAATAAAGGAAACCTCATGGTTGGTGTCTACTACAAGCCCCTGATCAAAGGAAGGCTTCTGATGAAGCCTTGTTGCTGCAGCTACAGGAGGCATCATGTTCACAGGCTCTTGTCCTGCTGGGACTTCAACCACCCCGGCATCAGCTGGAAAAGTAGCACAGCAAGCTGTAGGCAATCCAGAAGACTCCTGGAATGCATAGATGATAATGTCTTGAGCCAGTATTAAGCAGACCTACCAGAGGAAACGCAACAATGGGCATGAGGGTTACAAACATTAAGTGAGCTTGTCAGGGACATTAAGACTGGAGGCAGCCTGGGCTGCAGTGATCATGCATTAGTGGAGACCTCAGTCCTGAGGCATATGGGTCAGATAAGGAGTAAAGTTAGGCCCCTTTTAGGAAAGCAAACTTTCAGCTCTTCTAGAAGACAGTCAATATGATCCCCTGGGAGACTGCCCTCAGGGACAAGGGAGTGGAACAGAGATGGCAGACCTTAGAGGAAGTCTTCCATAGAGTGCAAGAGCTAGTGATCCCCAGGAGCAAGAATTTAGGCAAGGAAAGCAAGAGACAGCATGGCTGAGTAGGGAACTACTGGTCAAAAAAAAGGGAAAGAAGCAGATGCACAGACAGTGGAAATGAGGACAGATAATGTGGGAAGAGTATAGAGATGAAGCTTGGTTGTGTAGGGATGGGGTGAGGAAGGCCAAGGTAAAGCTAGAACTAAACCTAGGAAGGGAAGCAAAGAATCACAAGAAGGGTTTCTACAGGTATGTTCATCAGAAAAGTAAGGTCAAAGAAGATGTATCCGCACTGATAAACAATGTTGGTAAACTGATAACAATGGATGAAGAGAAAGCTGAGATACTCAACAACTTTTTTGCCTCAGTCTTCAATGGCTACCTCTCTTCCCACACCTTTTGAGTGGATGGACAGTAGAATGGGGACTGGGGAAGCAGCTGAGCAGTGTGGTTCTGTCCTGGCAGCCAAGCTATCCAATTCTCCCACTACAGCTGCCTTTACCAGAAATTACCAGTGTTTTTCACATAAAACTTGTGAGTCAGCTGAATTGAATCTACACATGTGAAGTGAAGCTCCCCACCTTTTGTGTTAAAATGGTCACACACTTTTGTATTCTTTCTTATTTCCATGTGCATCTGTCAAACTTTTGAAATTGCTGGCAAGCGCTACTAATGGGCATTTTAATTGTTCCATTTTCAAATGCCAAATTTTCCACAGGTGAAGACTTGTTTGATAGTCAGTTTCAAAGAATTGGATCTTTCATTTTTGCTTGGTTTTTTTCACAGCATGTTTTGCTGTAAAAAGATCATTAAAAACAACTGCAGGATATAACTGTTTTGGATTTGGATTAGGAATCAACATGTATGAATAAATGA